AGTAGTAGTAGTAGTAGTTGTTGTTGTTGTTGTTGTGGTCGTGGTCGTGGTCGTGGTCGTCGTCGTCGTCGTCGTCGTCGTCGTCGTCGGCGGCGGCGGCGGCGGCGGCGTCGTCGTCGTCGTCGTCGTCGTCCGCCGTCGACATCAGCCGGCAGCCGTCGCTGTCTGCTCATCAGTGTTTCGTACTGAACTGCAGATGGGAGTTGAAAACATGAGCTTTTGCACCTTGACCTGCCCCTCTCCCATTCCAATCACCATCTTGCGCTGCAAGGATCGGGTATCTGCAGTTCGCTCCCACAGCGCGTCTGATTGATGATGGTGCGGGCCGTCATCAGCAAGGGTGCTGGGCCATCCTACCAGGCGTTTCAGGTTGGGTGAATCCGTAGTTGGGGGTCCCATTGTTACCAAGTCCTTTTGGGCCTCAAGAAGGGTCTACAGTGTAGAATTGCCTTGTTTTCCCCGAATCCTGGTCTTCAAGGCTCTCTGGGCCTGGTTCTTGGCACTCTCCGAGGCCTCATGCATACCAGCGTTACCTTGCAGCTTCTTAGGAATTTTGGGGGGTGTCCGAAACCTGAACCCTTAACTCCATACTCTTTGCACTTACCTCCAGCCAGCGCTCGCGTGGAATATCTGCTGCGACTTCACTGGTCATTGGACACGCCTGAACCCTGAGCCTCTGAATCCTAAACCCTTTTCCCTAACCCTATATATCCGTACATACCTGTATATATCCCCTGCAGCCCCTCTAAAGGTACGGCCAAACATGTTGGCGGAGGCTCTCTATGTTGAGACCGTAAGATTATCATCCTGACAGTTCACCACCTCCTTCCTCGGTACTCCCCGGTCAGTCGCGCTAACCGAACCCCTTCCCCTTAAATCACTAAGAAATAAGCGTAGATATATACATATACATAGGTATCATTACATAGGGTTTGGAGCGTATATATTAATCTGTATATACATGTATGCATATTTTCCCTGTATATTACATGAGAATATAGCGGGAGGCTCTTGTTCTTCGGGGGTAGCAGCAGTGTCGTTATCAATACAGGGGGACTTGGAGGTTTCATGAGCAGTAAACTTCTAAGTGCTGAACACTATATCCCAAAATGTACATGCAAGAGGCGGGACGAAAGAATGTTTTTTTTAAAGATTCTTCCCCGGCTTTCTCAAAATCATCCGTCAGGTCCTGAAAGTGGGCATGCATAATTTCCTGATTCTCCCCACATGTCCTAAAGGTACTTCCATTTTGGGGAACATCCTTTGGAACTGTACGTCAAGCTTGCAAGGTTTTGCCACGTCCTCGTGGAAGATGCCGTGTTTGTCAAACCTTAGACAGGACAGCAAAATTTCTTACGTAGGGCTTCTGTATCATGCATGCTGTTGTTCTCATGGCTCTTGTTGCAGAACGACAGACCCTTGCGAAATACCCTTATCAAGTGTGAAGGGGCAATACACCAAGAGACCACAGCCCTTGTATCCAAGTCCAAGTCTCGCATTGCGTGCTGTTGGGCTAAGGTTCTAGGATCTGTTGGTAGGTAATTAGTAATGCAGCTCTGGGATGAGAGCTCAAAGCAATCTGACTGGCGTTTTGCGGCCGATGAACTAGGAAATACCCAAAGGGTGCTGCTTTTCAGGATTGTGTGGGGTTCCAACCGGACCCGACTAAGGAGATTGGGCCCATGTCGAGAGACTGTAAAATGGCGGGTCCCCTGGCATACCTCGAAATACTCCACTTATCACCAGTCAAGGAGCCCTAAACCAAGCTGAAGCACGGGGGATTGCCTCCTGTTCCTTCCAAACCTTTGGGCCCAGAGCCTCCAAACCCTGATCCTAATTTGGGTTGCCGTTATGAGGAACCTAGACTAAATTACTATTCAGGAAATGGTCTTCTTCAGTATATACCCATGTCATGGTAACTAGTTACTGTAATAAGGAAATTAAGGAAATCGTATTGTTCATGACATACCCCTATTACGCAATTCCTTAACAGCAACCCAGCAATGCTCCCTACACGGTTTCAGGTTTAGGGTTTATAGGGAAGCCTGAGGCCTACATTACCTTTTAGCCAGGGAGCACCTCTTAAACCCTGAAGCCTTGAACCTCGAACATTGAACTCCAAACCCTTTTTTCAAGGCAGGACTCTTTGACGTGCCTCCAGACCGCAGAACCCTAAACCCTGAACCTTAAACCGCGCAACCATGAACCCAACCAGCTCGACTGTTGATAGCCGGAGCGACTGCTTGCACTTTGGCTGTAGATTTGGCTCAGCTTTCCATCGAGTCTTGCTGTACTTGTGTGTCTCCGAGTCGTCAAAAAAGTAGTGTGACCTGCTTCGAGGTTCGTGGTCTTGATATCCCAACCAATCCAGGCTTTGAAGTTGTTTTCAAGGTTGACAGAAGGTTATATGTGGTCATCGAGCCTGTTGCGTAATTTAATACCAGACACCATGGATTTTGTAGGGATCGTTTCGTGCAGGGTTTGGGGAACTAAAATATCCAAGTTATAATTGTACTTACAACCCAGCTACACTACAAGCCTCCGAAGTCCGCTAACATGGTCGCAATGGGGTTAAAAACCCCATCGGGTTATAGTGACCATAAACCTACAAGTGGAGTATTGGGATCATTGCTGCTGTTGCAACGTAAGTTTGGCCGCATGGCCACAAGGCTCAGAAGCCAAAACATGTACTACCAAAAAAGAATAAAGTATTTCACATTATGAGCCAGGGCACATGTTGCGAGATAAGTCCTCCGGCGACAATATTCACTCTTCAGGTCTTGGGTTTAGGCTTTGGGGGGCCTAGACCCCCGCAGATGCTGAGTCCTCCGCCTGAAAATAAGCTCGGCGTAGGGTTTAGAGAGGCCAACCCTAAACCCTAAACCCTAATTTTCCTGGGGTGCTCAACTCTGGCCACTTTGAGCACACCACTCCTTGAGCGTAGAATCACTGCAGTAGAGCTGCGCATCCGCCCGCTGCCTGCTCGCAAGTGTACCCCTAAGGCCCCCAACTTTCTGGTGCTACCACTATAGCGAAGGGGTATGCATATATATATATATAATAGTCCCCCTTAAGTAGATAGAATATGGTGTATATGGGACTCTTGTTTTAATACACCCAAAGCCATATTCTATCTACTTAAGGGGGACTCTATATATATAACCCTAAACCCTAGACCGTGTGGTTGTAGGGACCCACTCCCCCAACTCCAGCATAAGTAAAAAATCAGGCTGCCTCACGCCCAATAGTGCCAGGGTTTTTGATTTGGGGTTTAGGGCCTGCTGTTGGTTAGAACTATAAGTTACACACATCCACCAGAGAAGAGAGTTTAAGGCTTTAAGGTAATGTAGAATTATAAGTTATATAATATCTCCTACCATGTAGCGAGAACAGGGGGAATGCCTTCCTCCCGCTCAACAGCACCTGAGAATGATGCTTACCCATGATGGCTACTGTAGGGGAGCCAAGGGAGTTGGTTGTTATAGTCGTACGATCATACGGAAAGATTGAAACTCATTATTCAGGCTTCTATAACTGATTCCGTGACCTTTGTAAGACGCTCTTGTTGCCCACGTCGTCGCAGTCAAAGTCACCATCGTGGCATTTGTCAAAGTTCCTCCGTAATTGCAGCTTGTCTAGGGCTCAGGCTTGGATTTGGGGTTTAGAAGGCGAAGCTCCCCCACTATGTGGACTCCTTTTCAAAGAAGTCACCCAGAAATATGCCAAGGTCTACATTGCCAGCTGAAATATGGCTAAGATATGGCGAGCAATATCCAAAATTCAACTGAGCCCTCACTGGACGTAACCACCCACATCTGGAAACTAGACTAGAAAGGATACCGCTCAGATGCCCCCTTGTGTCTTTCCCCGGACCTGTTCATGTGTGGACTGCAAACAACGAAAATGAGTTCTTACATACTTGACAGCCATTCGGCCATCCGGCTTCTCCAAGCGACGAAAGCTTTGATCATAACTCCTACAACGCGACAATCAATCCTTATTAATGAGACCGGCTGAATTGGTCAATGGCTCATTTGAGGGAACGAAACCTCAAATTGGTGCGTTGAAGAGATCACTGAGACATCCTCAAAGAGGTGAAGCCTCGGCAGAGCAAACTGTACTTACAGGGCGGGGGGGGGTGCGGGGTGTCCCAAAATTACGGGTGCCTTGGGAATCTGCCATTTGTTAGACTAATATCAGAAGCTGAAATTAAGCCAATTCCGGACTATCTTCTATATAAACAATCACGCATGGTGAGGCCGGGTGAGGTCGCAGGAGATAAATCGGGAATGCGCTATTACTATTGGGTTACTGCATATCTACAAGCCCAATTGCCATGTCATGTTCCATGTTCTTATCCATTTCGTTCACTTTGTGCAATAGTTGTTATTTTCCTTCCCGGCACCAGAAAAAAAGTAGCTCATAGGATCACAGGTGGCAAGTTTAGCGCTTGAGGCTTGGAGTTTCAGTGAGCACACGGAATCGTGACGCCAGTGATACAACTTATATCCCCAAACGTACCGCTTGCAGCTCTGCCTGCGCGTTTATAAGCTCCAACCCTCAACCCCCCCCCCTGCGCTCCTAGCTCATCACCCTTTATGGGCCAAGTTTGCAATTCGGATTTGTTTGAAACACGTGGGTGCCCTTGGGGCCCGGAGAAATCTAGAGATCTAATAAGGGCATCAGCGGACCACATGTCAGGCACGGGAACAAGGTGCGCGACTTGAAATCGCAAAAACCTCAAGACCCTTGCCCAAACCCGGAAAGACCCTTTGCAGACTACTGTCATTTGAGAAGGGGTGTATCTGGCGTTTTCAGCCTGCGAGGACCCTTAATCCCTAAACCCTGAACCGCTAAACCCTGAACCCTAAACCCTGAACCCTAAGCCCTAAGCCCTAAACCCATAAACCCTACATACCCCCATTATAGTGGTTTGCATTTTCTTTTCCATTATTCATATAACCCTATAGAACCAAAAGAATCCTCAACAGAGCCGGGGCAACGAGATGATCAGGAAGCTCAGGGCCTGGAATCCCCCGTAACCACGATTTAGGGCTTTTAGGATTTTAGGGCTTAGGGTTCAGGGTTGAGGGCTGTTTTTGAAGTTTGTAGGGTTGTGTGAGTTGGAGGTTGAGGGATTAGGGTTTAGGGTTTAGGGTTTAGTTTTTTTTTTTGTTGTTCGCCCCTTTTTCCGCCTGCGTGCAGGTCAGAAGGCACATATCGTGCAGGAGCTACATCCCTTTCCTTGAAACACGAAACTAGGCCATCTCTGTGCTGCCTCTACAGCTACTCCAGGTCGGCAGGACTTGGTGCAGAACCACTTCACCGCTACTGGCACGACCCCTCGTTCAGAAGACATGTTTGAGAGGCGTCACGAGGACAGCGACGACCACCCAGGAAGCAGACGCCCGGCAGGACGACGAAGTCGCAGGACCCTCATCCTCTGAAGCCTCCAATGCTCTGGCAACGCTGTCCATGATCGCCGAGGCCGCATTGTAGAGGTCGATGGAGGCCTCATCCGGGGCACTGGAGAAGGCGTGCAGCACATCCGTCCAGCCTCCTGTCCGCCACGCCTCCACTCTACTAGGCGCGGCTTCATCCATCCCATCCAACACCGTGTCCATGACGTCGTCGCCAGTCGCCGAAGCCATAGGAGCCAAGGCAGCAGGAGCAGCTTGCCCAGGAGTGGGTCCACGAGGAGCAGGGTTTAGGGTTTAGGGTCTGCTTGTGCTGTTTTCAGGGGGTGTCAGGGTTTAGGGTTTACCGTGCTGGTTGAGAGCAGGTCTTGAAGGAACGGAAACGGAAACTGCTACATCCTTGGGGTTTGTATATGATCGTATTCTGTATGGGGATCCATTCAATCCACTTCTGCTTTCCCTACACCACCGCCGTAAGTTACCCTCCCCAGGCAAACATTGAGAAGGGGCCGTACAAAGACTATCGTGCTTCAACAAGAAGCTATATGAGATCCCACTTTTGGGTGGGTCAGCAAAGCAGCTTAAGACCATAACAGCAAAAAGCAACGTGCTAGTTTCCATAAGTAGGGGGACACCAACGTGGACGCCAAGATACTATCACCCTTATCATGGTTACCCCCAATAAGGGACCTCAAATAATGGCAACCCCTAGGTTGGCTGCAGAACGTTCCTAGACCCTGAACCTTGAAACCCTAAATCCTGAAACCTAAACCCTGAACCCTAAGTCCTAAACCCTAAACCCTGAACCCTAAACCCTAAATCCATCTACATCCTAAACCCTGAAGAGCAACATAATCTAAAGTCTCCCATTGCATCCAAAGGCTATGATTGTCACCAAGGTCTGGCAGAATAGAATGGGAAGCTGAAGCCTGGCATTTAGGGTTCAGGGCTTAGGGTTTAGGGTTTAGGATTCATGGTTTAGGGTTTAGGGTTCAGAGTTTAGGGTTCAGGGCTTATGGTCTATTTAGGTCTAGGGCTTAGAGGGCCTCAATAGATTTTTGTTAAGGTTAGAGTTGAAGGTTGAAGTCTCAATGGAATTTCATGTAGGGTTTGGGTGCGAATCTGAAGTCATTATAGGCTTACAACTGATTCAAAAATCTACTTCGACCGTTATTGTTCATGGTCTTGGGACTGAAAAGCATTCTAGAAAGTTCTAACGCCCGTAATACTCCGTGTTGGCGGTACTCTCGATGTGGGCTCACCATAGTTCCTAAACGCCAAACCATACCTGCATCCCCCTCTAAAGAGCTCAAAACCCAAATTGGGGTATTGGGGGTTCCTGGCAATTTGCTCCGGATTTTGGGATTTGGGGTCCAAGGATTCAAGGCCCACCTGCTGGGCCTGGACTTTTGCTGAACTTTGAGGTTGGGGTTCAAACAGACCTAGGCTTCAGGGCGGAATTTGGGAGTTTTGGAAGTTCTGGAACCTGTTCTACCCCTCCTCGGTTAGCTCCCCCCTCCCAAACCAGCCTTCAAATCATGCCGAACTAGAGCTCATTTAGGCCTGTTTGCGTGACAGGGGGTCAGAGGGGGCGTAGTATAGGATCCCATTCAGGGGTGTAGTGCTGATTTTGGAGCCGGAGCCCAATCCGTAGTGGGACCCCACAATCACTAAACCCTAAACCGTGTCTATAGCTCTAGGGGCCCGCTGCTTCTTAGAAACCCGAAAGCCTAGTCGTGGGCGGTGGGTTCCTGCCCCCACTATATGGCATCACTCCCCTAATAATAGACCACCACATAAAACCAGTTGACATTGCATGCGCCATGCTCTTTTCCATGTGATTGTCTGCTATTGGGATAATGCTTTAAGTCCTATAATCCATATATAGCCCGAATCCAGCGCCAGCTCTCACCACACCACAGCAAGGCGGGGGGCCGTCGGTTTGTTACCTCTTTTCATCTCTATCTGCGAAACATTCATCAGAGCCCTTCTGTAATTATGTCCTTTCTGTGTCCGTTTTTGCACATCCTTTACATCAACCTTTATTCACGAATTCCCAAGACCCAAGCACAACCACGCCTCGACATACACCCCCCGCAAAAACGCGGTGAATAAGCTCAATCTTCTTCAAAATGTAGTCCCCCCTTAAGTAGGTAGAATATGGGGTATATGGGGATCTTATTATAATATACCCAAAGCCATATTCTATCGACTTAAGGGGGACTGTATGTGCTAATGTCTGGCCCAGCAGCGGGGGAGCATAGATCTTGGCCACTTTGGGCACCTCCGGAGAGTTGGGATAATGCTCTTACAACCCCTTGAATCTTGCTAGTCTTTGTAGTCCCCCATGCCTCCAAAACTGCAACGGCCCAGATTTCTGCAGTAAACCCCAAGCCCTGAGAACAACAAAACCTTAGAACACCGATTCCTAAGAATCCTGAACCGACAAACGCTAAGAACCCGAAACCCATGCCCCACATCCTCTGAGGGCGGGATGCTGGAAGCAGACTACCTGTCTGCTGATAGAAGGGGACTCCAGTCCAACCTGGGGTCACCCCGATTAAGGGTTATATTCCAGGATACCCCCATATTGAGGGTATGTTGGGTTTAGCGTTGTTGTCCTACACCCTAAACCCAAAATACCCTGAGTATGGGGTTCTATTCCATGGTTTATGGCCAGGGCTCCAGGCCCAAGCCCAAAGGGCAAAAAAAAATTCCCGGACCCATCGAATCCAGGAGAAACAGAACTATGCTTGGAAGTTCCGGGGCGCTAACCGCGAACATCTCAGTTGTAACTGGTACCTATCACTGCCTCTAGCCGAATTGCAACCCGATTAGGGCCTTAACGGCTGATAACAAGGTTCTAGGAAGTTCTAGGTACAGTTATGATTAAACTGCAAGTACCCTGAACCTCGAATACTAGAATTCTTGTTTGGGGAACCCCCAAAAAATGGGACCCCTAATTTTCCGGAACGCCTATATCCTGAATCGGCAAACTTGGGGCACCTCGTAGTACTTGAGACAATTAGCGTTGCCACATGGCAACCACTTCTCCACGGTATCCACCATTTTGTCCACCCAGTTGTTTGGGCTATTCGACGTCCTGCGTTCAGGGCCTAGCGTGCTGCTTACATGGGCTTGCAACTCATGGACACAGGCTCGCAGCGTAAAGCAGCCAGCTGTCTCCAAAAATGCAGGTTACGTGCGGGTACTGCATCAGAAAGCCCCTCGCAAAACTCAGCAATAACGACCAGGATGTGACCGTTGAAGCGTGCAGTCGTAAGACATATACAAGCCCAGAAATGTAAATATACATATATGTGTATATCCCGAGATGAAATCCTTACAGGGGCCCTCTAGCCTGAAGCTCTACCCTGAAGCTAGAGCTTTTCTTCTTCTCACCCCTTCCCTAACGATAAGCCGAAATATGCACTGATATCGCACGGAAGATCTTTGTTGTTACAGGGGGGGGTACTGGTAAGGGGAGAGGATGATAGCTGATTGAACATTCAGAGTTTAAAAAGTTCTACTCTGTCAGAGTACATCATGAAAAATGTTATACCAAAAAAAAGCTTTCCCAGCAACGATCAGAGATGCATGCTGCTGGAGTCATCGCTAGAGTTCGCAGTCAATTGCTGTGCCAGCGACCGCGCTGGCGCATGCCTTCGGAAAGGGCACCGGAGCTCCAAATGAGCTATAGTTTAAACTCCTTAGAGGGGATTATATAGGGGTTATTAAGGGGGATACTAGGAGTTTAGACAATGGCTCAAATGGATTGTGTGGTTTTAAGAAGGGTTCTGCAAGGTCCAACTGGGGAAATACCAAATGGTCGAATTGGGCAACATCTTTACTTATCACGTTACAGATCGCGAATAACACGAGCCCTCACAACGGGCGGTTTCAGTAAGCAAGTTCGGTGACTGCCCCATGAATGTCGCAGCCGCGCCGTAGCATTGCAGCTACTTGTGGGAATATGGGGTTCAGAAATACCGTGCGCACTAATTACATTAGAGTCTTTACTATAGGAACTCGCAAGGACGCCCTAAGTTTTGGAAGCCCCACGGATAATTCTGAGATGCTCTTCATAACGGTCCATATGGCTGGTGTAAAGCTAGATTGTTCTTTTTTGATCTGCTCGAAAGCTTGGTGCCATAACATTATCTATGGCCAAATATACCTGAAATACAGTCCACATGATTCTCACATATTCCGGGTAACATTGGGGCCCGCCTTGTTTCCTTGGCAGGGCCGCCACTTGGGCTGCTGCTGGGCAGCGCAGTGAACGTTTGCGGGTAACTGGCTCGGCGCTGCATAGGCAGGCAGTGCCCCGGAGCTTTTAATGCTCCCCCCCTAGTATAAAACCTCCCCACCCCCTATTATTAAATACTCCCCATTGTGCTATTTGTAATATTTTGGGCATATTTACTGTAAGGGGCTTAAAAGGTTTAATACTAGGGTAAAGGGATTAATGCCTACCGGATTTTCTGGGGAAAGCCATTGCGACATGGAATGATCAGATCCTCTCAGGGTTTAGAGCGATTCTAAAAGCATGAGGGGGGCGTGACAATTCTGCAAAACTTTGCACAATCACTGGTGATACCGCATGTGC